TAATTATATTTATGGTTGAGTTACATAAAAGTTAAAAAAAAAAGTGTAGTAAATGTAGCTTTGGGAATAGGAGAGTAATTATTTAATAAGTAAATTATATACATAATTACGAGTAAGTGATTTTTTTTGTAAAAATTAATTATGTTTATGATTGTATTACATAGAAGTTAACAAAATTTATTCAGTATAATAAATGTAGTATTGGAGGGAAAAAGAATTTTTTTCCAGCTGCTTCACTTTTATATATATATAGATGTGAAAACTTATGATTGGTTATAAAATATTTTAATTTTGTTTGGATTTTTTAGTTTGGTATGATTAATTTTGAATAACGTAATACGGTTAGTTGCTAATGAGATTTTGAATGCAGAAGATAGATGATGTGAAGTAATGATTAATTAAAATTATGTAAGTTGATGAATTGTGAATGAAGGTTGGTGTAATGTGTAAGATTGATTGAATAATATTATTTAATTATACTGGCCATATTGATCAAATAGTGAGATTAAGTTAAATTTGAGTTAGATTTGAGTTAAAAACTTAAAATGAATGGTTGATTAAAAATGATTGATTTTTTTATTTTTTTTTTGTTATTATTATTACTTTTTTTGATAAATTTGTATCAAGCATCTTGTAAGTGTACTTCTAATGCTTTATTTAATTTGTTGTTTGTCTAAAAAAATCAGCTTAGATGCACGCCTAAAGCACTAGATAGTCGACAAACAAAAATATAGCATTAGTCCCTAAAGAATGATAGATTCTCCAAACCCACCACCCGTGAAATTTTGCTTTGATATTGAATGCATGTCCCTTTTCTTCACCCAGTGAATCAAAAGGTTACATATGTAAAAGCAACGAGATTTGTGCCTAACATTCAACTTGACGGTATATAATCTCTCTCTCTCTCTCTCTCTCTCTCTCTCTCTCTCTCTCTCTCTCTCTCTCTTCATATAAGCAGCGAGCTCCCGGTGAGAACGCCACTCGTGCATGTATGACGAGCACTCCGAGCCACAACAAGCAAGAAGACCACACGAGGGCGAGGATTGAAGGATGAGGAGATAAGAACTTCTCAGAACCGTTCATTCAACCCTTAGGCTGTGTAAGTCTATACTGAGTGTGTGGAATTTTTAAGCTGTAAGCATTCTATCTGTACTCTAGTCCGCTATACTTTAGGCTTACTTTCATAGATTAATCCACGACTTGCATGATTACGACATTCCTCATAGAATCATAACAACCCATACCTCCTCTAAACTCTCATCAAGTGTTTTTCTCCAACTCTCATCCGCCATGGTCGTCTTCGTCACAGACGACACAAATGATGTGTCATTACACCTCGAACCAGTCTTTTATCGTTCTCTAATCGATTTTCTCTCTGGAGACCTTCGAAACACGCTGGGAAAGTTCTCGGCATAAAACCTCTGATGATCAAGTCAATAAATGGCTATGAAAGGTTGTTTATAAATGTAATCAATCTTATGGAGAGTGTATAGTGTGATTAACCTTTTACCTTTTATTCTTTCTCCTATTTATAGTGAGTCACTGGCTTATTGAAAAAGCTTTACCGTATCCGGCTGCCCGAGTGCCCTAAGGTCTGTCCGACGGTTATTTTGCTAACCGTACATCTGCCTGAGACTCATTCTTATCTATAGGATCTGAATCCCTCTCATATAACCATACATGTGTCTGAAATAAATAGTTCTTTTTACTCACACAGTTTACATAACAACTTACATTAGTCTTTATTTAGACCAATTCTTTGCAGGTCGACTTACTCCACATAGGCCCCCTTGACCCGCTGTCAACAAGTCTGCATGTGCTTAACTACTCATAGATCGATCAATAACATCACCAACAGGTCCATCCATCTTTTATGTATAGGTCCCCGACCTATGTTCTATCAGAGCTAATGGAGTACTAGTACCATGTTGTTCGAGCTGCCTACTCCGAGCTACTAGAGTACTGGTATGCCATCCAAGCTATCGGATTTAAAGTAACATGTTGTCCGAGCTACCGGAGTACAAGTAACATGTTGTCCGAGCTATTGGAGTACTGACATGTTATCCGAGCTACCTTGTAATTCGAGCTACTGTAAGCTTAATCAGCATTATGTCCGAGCTAACTCCAAGAGAATTCCTCCGAGCTATTTTAACCCAATTTATCCGATCTACTCCCATGACCGGTTTACTCAAGCTAAAGAAAAACCATTTTTAACGAGCTATTATATATGTTATATATCAAGTTGACATTCTGATTGTATTCGTTATTTTGAGTTATATACAGTTTTTTTTTTTGTTTTTATTTATTTATTTATTTATTTTTTCTTACATCTTATTTTGTTTCTACAGTAAAGAACCCAGCAGAGGACGTAGCAATATAAGCACACCCCGAAAGCCACTTCCTTTTCCGCATTCCGCTCTTTCATGGCGCTTCACTTCATTTAGGTGGGGGCTTGGGTAGCGATTGTAAGGCAGAAAACAGGGATAGGTTGGTTGAAACTGATTCGGGCTTGGGCCCGAGCTCCAGTTCGGGTTCGAGTGATGAGGATGCGCCATTGGAGTTTATGAGGCGAAAGGTTAACGAGAGGAAGTTGAATAATAGCTTGAAATCTCATAAAAGAGATAATCTTGAAGATAGAGAGTACGAAGTTTGATTTTGACGAATATGACGAATTTGAACCTAAGAAGATGGGGAATTTGTATTTCGAGAAAAGGTCTAAGACTATCGAGCAGAAGTACGGTAGGAATGTGATGGAAGTTAGTTCTGGCTCATCTAATAGGAATATTCGAAATAGTGGTGATAGAAGTCAAAGAGGGTGGAAGGATGAAAATGTGAAGAATGGAAAAAATATCGCACTGGTTGAGGATGGAGAAGAAATGCCCGTTTCGATTTTAAAGTCGAAGTTTCAGAAGACGGCTGACGAGCAAATCAGGGGGCAGGGGAACAATGGGGTTTTGAAGGTTATGGTGAAAAAGAAGAAAAAGGTGGATTTTCCTTCTCAGGCTAAAAATGATGACTCTGAAACGTATAATTACTTGCGAGTGCGCGAAATGTAGTACGAACGTGGATAAACAACGTAAATAGCGGAAGCAATAAACCGAAGATTTTAAAACTCTTTAGGGAAGCGTCCCACTTCCCCTCAGAGCTCTTTCATTGATAAACCGTTCACACTTGTATAGTTTGGACTTACACGACTCGAACTCCCTTCTAGTCTAGCCACAACTACACACGATCCTATCAACTACTTCTCCGGCCACGTCCCGTGGACTTTACACACTCGAATCCCTCGAGTAAAACCCAGTACTTAATCCCTAAGCACTAAAATAAAGTGTTTGTAAAAGAAAAGAGACAAAACGAGTTCAGTTCTTCAGCAATGTAAGAACGCTGAAAAACTGGACCGAATAAAATAAAAATAATAGAAACTCTCAAACACTCAATTGAAGCTGATGAATGATGAACTTGATTTGCAGCAGCTCTTTTTTTTTTTTTTTTTTATTCAATTGATTGCTTGAGTAGGCTTATATACAACCTCCTTAAGGTAAGGAGTCTTCACAGTTCTTCATTTACCTTTTAGGAGTTAATTTCCTTCTCAATTGATTCCTTTCTGATTTGGACGAAATCCTCCATGTAAGGTAAGTTTCTTTGATGTAGAAATCATGTATGTGATTTGGAGATCTTCAGAATTGAGCTTCCAATGGAAAAACGCGTTCCAAGAATCTGGTAAGAACATGACTTTCCAAAAATAGCCGATCTTCCAAATCTTCAAAGATCTTGTGGTGAATCTTTCCAAATCCTCCTTAGATCTTTTCATGAACGTCCAGAACTCTTCTTGTATGGAAAGCTCATCCTTTCATAGTCCTTGCCACCTATTCCTTGTCCTACAAGAAAGAGAGAACCAATTATGGTATGTGGCATATATGGTAAGTGAATATATAAGATATATATTATGTAATTTTCCTCCTTTCCTTTCTTTATTCTCATCTGATTTCCTAACATATAAAAAATACCATAATAAGACCAACACAATCTTATATATGGAATATAATATAAACTTAAGTAAGGAAATAAAATATTCAAAGATCTTCCCTTTTTCTGTGGTTCCAGGTGCTTATTCGAACCAACGAACTAATGCCAAACAAAAATATCTTTCAGACTCTTTTGACCTTGAAGAAAGAAAAGGTTCGATATCTGATGATGTAGCCAAGGACTTGTTTGCTGACAATGAGACAAGTGCTGAGAAGGAGAAAGAGGAGAAGATAAAAAGAGGCATACTAGTATATAAATCGAAGAAAAGGATGAAAAATGAGGAAGAAAGATCTTCACCTCCAGAGAATGTAACTTCTCTGAAAGGTAAAGAAGGAAAAGAAGGCCAAGCCCAGCTTGGTGGGAGTACCGAAAAGCAAAAGCTGCGGGAGAAGATAAGAGGGATATTAGTTGACGCTGGGTGGACTATAGATTATAGACCGAGGCGTAATAGAGATTATCTAGATGGTGTCTACATTAACCCTGGTGGGACAGCATACTGGTCTATAAAGGCTCATGATGCGCTCAAAAAACAGTTAAAAGATGAAGATGAGAAAGTAATGTGGATCTGGGATCCCTATCGTTTGCACCTCTATCCGAAGATCTCATTAATAAACTTACAAGACAAACTAGAAGGAAAAAAAAGGACGGAATCAAAAGGTAAAGAAAAGAAGATAAGTGTGAAGAGACCTCAGATAGCGATGAAAATGATGATGATTCAATTGAAGGTTCCCCAAAGAGGAAGAGAGATAAAATTAGAGTTGACAGGGTTTGAATTCTAAAGCAATGCTACCTGGACTCGGATATGGGTGTGTATCGGGTGTGGAGATATGAGCGTCCGACTCGTCAATAGTTTAGAAATCTTGAACATTTTAGGCTAAAATGCCACACCCGACACTCATACCCACACCAGTGTTGACACAACATGACACGGGTATTCTTCCTAAATAGAAGAGTCCGGGTAACATAGTTGACAGGTCATCCAAGGGTTTGAATTCTAAAGCAATAGAAAGGTGTACCCTTATGGTCCGTGGTCATGATAATGGGGATAGCTTGGATTCTGATGGATATGTTCCATATTTTGGGAAAAGAACTATCTTGACCTGGCTGATAGACTCTGGGAAAGCAAGCTTACGTGAGAAGGTGCAGTATATGAACCGTAAGAGGACTCGGGTCTTGTTAGAAGGGTGGATCACACGAGATGGTATCCACTGTGGCTGTTGCAGTAAAATTCTTACTGTCTCAAAGTTTGAGGCGCATGCTGGTAGCAATTTGTGCCAGCCATTTCAGAATATATTCTTGGAGTCGGGTCCATCCCTTTTGCAGTGCCAGGTTGATGCCTGGAATAGTCAGGATAAATGTTTGCTTCGGGATTTCTTCAAGGTTGATGTTGACGGTGATGATCCGGATGATGACACGTGTGGACTTTGTGGGGATGGGGGTGATCTTATCTGTTGTGATAGTTGCCCATCAACCTTTCATCAGACCTGTTTGGAGATGCGGGTTTTCGTTGGATGGATTTATGGTGTAAAAAGCTGTGTTTTTTTTTTTTTTTTCTTACTTCATCGTTAGATAGATCTTACTGGGTGTGTTATAAACTTTTTCTAGTATGACATTTTTGTTCTTCATTGTGTGTATTCTCTTACAGTTACTATTGAAACTCCTTGTGTTTTTTCCTACTTTTTCGAGTATGATTTGTATCTTGGGTTTCTTTTCTTTTCCCTGCTCCTTATCGCTGGTCGTGTGTGTGTTCAGATTATTGCCTCCTGAATAATTTAACGGCTGCTCTTGCTCTTCTTAGGGCGTAAGCTTAAATCCTGTTCAAACTATTGTGGTTTTCTAATACTGTGTCTTGTGGAACAGGCTTAATTCTTTTATTATTGATTATGTTGCTTTATCCTCTTTGTTGCAGGAGCTTCCTTCAGGGGATTGGCACTGTTCAAACTGTACTTGCAAATTTTGTGGCAGCGGAAATGTTTCTGAAGAAAATGAGAGTGCTGGGAATGAACTTAACAGATGCAGCTTCTGTGAGAACAAATGTAAGTAATAGTTTTTACAAGAATGTAAGTAATAGTTTACAAGGTTGAGTTTTATGTGTATTTTTATTTTCCCTCTGTCTCACATCTTCTCTCAGAAATATGAAAATGCAATTTTTTCGTATTTTTCTTCAACGTTACTGTCTTGATAATTATTCTATATTATTTGTTTTCTAGATCACAAAACATGCGGTGAAAAGGCGGATGCTCCACCTTTGAGTTCAGACGGTGCATCTTTCTGTGTGGGTGAAATACCAAGAGGTATTGGGCATAGTAGGTTTTGTATGAATAGCTAGTCCACGATAAAATGGTAAACCTAACCTCCGCAATATATGTTTTTCCTTTCAATATGCAAAAGGGAGTATGCATGAACGTAATTACTTTCTCTAACATCTTATTTTGGAGCTTAAAAGAATGAGAGAAGTCTGAACCATGCATCAGGTCACTGTTTGTCATCTCCTTTTGATCTCTATAGTCACATTTTTTCATAAAAAAAAGGCACCACTGGCTTTTATGGGACGCCATATTCTACATATGTATTTACTATTATGTATAAACCTTTATGGGCCTGGCTACATCTTGTTCACCATATTGTGAATCATACAGTCATACTTTATGTAAATACTATTTTTTATTTGCAGCTCTATGATCATTTACAGAAGATTCTTGGAGTTAAACATGAATTGGAAGCAGAATTTTCATGGTCTCTTATTCAACGAAAAGACATATCTGATGCTTCCCAGAGTGGATATCCGCTAAGGGTGGAGTGCAACTCTAGGCTAGCTGTTGCATTATCTATCATGGATGAATGTTTCGTGCCCATTATTGACAGGAAGAGTGGGATAAATTTGATTCATAATGTTGTCTATAATTGTGGGTAAGGTGTACTTGACCAAGCTAATGAGGAATAAATGTGTGATTTGGTTTTCTTTGGCCTCATTCTCTGTTCCGGACAGATCTTACATATCTTATGAAATTGTGTTGTTCTGGTTTTATGCAAATCATGTTTGTACTATAGTCTTTAAGGAGTTACATAGCTTTATAGTATAATTGCTAGTTCTGCGTAATCTCTCGTGACTCAGTTGCCCATCGGCATAGCTCTTATTCTAAGCTTTTTCTTTCTAATATGATTTAGTCTGGCCTTTTACCAAATTGATGAGATCTTATGGAAATGGATTCACTTTCTTAATAATCACTATTTGCATGCATATAAATATTTCACATGCACCCTCCCTTTATCTGACTGGCACATGCACAGACAAATAAATAAATATTATAACTTATCCTATTAGGCTTTCTTTTGCAGATCAAATCTTAACTGTCTGAATTATCGTGGATTTTATACGGTTATTTTGGAGCGTGGTGATGAAATAATATCTGCAGCATCTATCAGGTAGTAATACAATGCTGCTTTTGTTGGCCTTCTCTGTAGGTTATCTTCTGGGTTTTAGTGGCTGAGCATCCATAAAATGGACGTATAAATATATGAATTATTGGTTTCATTTCTAATGATCAACAATTTAAAGCCATCCGATCATATTTTCATTTCACTTGTTAGGTTTCATGGTGACCGTTTGGCTGAGATGCCATTTATTGGGACTCGTGAGATCTATAGGCGTCAAGGAATGTGCAGACGCCTTTTATCCGTTATTGAAAAAGTAAGCATATTGGCTTTACTGATATGTTTCACACTTGTTGGCAATGCATCAGTTATTGCTTTTCTATTCACTGTTATTTTTTCATCTTCGAAAATCGAAACTGGAAAGTGAGGCCAACTTGAATGTTTGACTTCTGGACTAATGAATTCTTTTAATTTTTTTCGCTGGACTTGTGATATAATATCTACTTTTGTTGTTTCAGAAACTTACTTCCCTCAAGGTTGGACAATTGATTATTCCCACCATATCAGAGCATATGAACACGTGGATTAGAGATTTTGATTTCCAAAAACTTGAGGACGTACACAGGAAAGAATAAAGTCCATGAACATGTTGTTTATGAGGCGAAAGGTTAACGAGAGGAAGTTGAATAATAGCTTGAAATCTCATAGAAGAGATAAGCTTGAAGATTGAGAGTACGATGGGGACAGTGTTGGTACTGACATTAGTAATGAAAGGAAAAGGAGTAGGTTGAAGTTGTTTGATTTTGACGAATATGACGAATTTGAACCTAAGAAGATGGAAAATTCGTATTTCGAGAAAAGGTTTAAGACTATCGAGCAGAAGCACGGTAGGAATGTGATGGAAGTTGGTTCTGGCTCATCTAATAGGAATATTCGAAATAGTGGTAGTAGAAATCAAAGAGGGTGGAAGGACGAAAATGTGAAGAATGGAAAAAATATCGCACCGGTTGAGGATGGAGAAGAAATGCCGGTTTCGATTTTAAAGTCGAAGTTTCAGAAGATGGCTGACGAGCAAATCAGGGGGCAGGGGAACAATGGGGTTTTGAAGGTTATGGTGAAAAAGAAGAAAAAGGTGGATTTTCCTTCTCAGGCTAAAAATGATGACTCTTTTGACCTTAAAGGAAGAAAAGGTTTGATATCTGATGATGTAGCCAAGGACTTGTTTGCTGACAATGAGAGTAAGTACTGAGAAGAAGAAAGAGGAGAAGATAAAAAGAGGCATACTAGTATATAAATCGAAGAAAAGGATGAAAAATGAGGAAGAAAGATCTTCACCTCCAGAGAATGTAACTTCTCTGAAAGGTAAAGAAGGAAAAGAAGGCCAAGCCCAGCTTGGTGGGAGTACCGAAAAGCAAAAGCTGCGGGAGAAGATAAGAGGGATGTTAGTTTATGAGGATGTGCTTTTTTTTCGCTGGACTTGTGATATAATATCTACTTTTGTTGTTTCAGAAACTTTCTTCCCTCAAGGTTGGACAATTGATTATTCCCACCATATCAGAGCATATGAACACGTGGATTAGAGATTTTGATTTCCAAAAACTTGAGGACGTACACAGGAAAGAAATAAAGTCCATGAACATGTTGTTGTTTCCAGGGACAGATGCTACAGAAACAGTTACTGAAGCAAGAAAATTCTGATGGTAAACATTTTCTTTTGTTGGCCGATAATTTATTCTTTCTGTTTTATTTTCAGCTGACCAACTCACCCAAGTGAGGTCCTTCCTAGCCTTCTCTACCAATGAGGAGATGAAGACTGGGAATTCAAATCATTTCCTAGTGCTTTACTCACCTTAGGATTCAAAATTTTTAAGAAAGATAAGGAAAAACCTATGTTCAGCTGTAAGAAGTTGAGCTATCTTTTTTCCTCATAATACATATCTATTATGGCAAAACCTTCACTCGAACTCGAGGTTTAGCTTAACTACTGAAATTTCAAATACCCCCTCTTATAGACTAGAGTGATCAATGATGATACATTTAAACCCTTTTTGGTGTTTGCGTAATTTCATTTACCTGACAATTATCCTGCTGGAGAATGCAATTTGTAAATATTAAGAGTTATTTCTAATTTATAAACGGTAGTTTTTCTGCTTCTTTCTTCTTCTTCTCCTATTTTTTTTTTTAATTAGTCTTAAGTTCTGGCAAAGTCTTAGTCTAAGATACTTTCTTTTTTCTTGACTAAACTATGCATCTTTTGCCATCCGATTTCACCTTTACTTCCTAACAGCAGGCGTGAAGGTCTCTGACTCAATGAACAATCAACCTCGATTACCCATTTTAGCTGAAAAGCCCGAGAAACAGGCAGGCAATGATTCTGGACAGGGCCTCGAGACTAGCGACAAAGTTGAATCAGTGGATTCACCATCACCACTAGCAACAATACCTCGTTCAGTCGCTGTTCAGAAACTGGATAATTCAACACCTTCTACTTCAGGTGCTATTTGTGAGTCTGAAGATCATTCTGTTCACACCCAGGAAGCAACACCCCACAAACCCGAGATTGAAATTGAGCATGAAGAATTGACGTACTACTTGAAATGCTCCCCTAATCCAGCTGAAACCAATCCGTGCAAAGTCAAAGCTCTGTCCACGGATTCTGTTAGTGCTGTCACTTTAGATAGTTCAAAACCTGAAAATGCTTTGGTTCATGTCGAGATTGTTGAAGATGCTGGCCTAACAAAAACCAATGACGAAGGTTGTATGAATCTCTTCCTGATACAGACACAGTCGATGGGAAATACCTGAGTGTTACGTAAAACCCCTTATTGGCTAACAAAATCCTCTACATTTGTAAAAAGGCGAAATCGTAGGTGTTGTTTTTGTAATCAACCCTAATATATTTTTCTTTTCTTTGTCTCTGGTACCTCCTGCCTCTCATTTCACCTTCATTTTTTCAATGGCAGGCAATAAGGGCTCTGACTCAACTAACAATCAACCTCGGTTGCCCATTTCTTCTGGAAAGGCACATGAACAGTCAAGCAGCTATTGCGGGCTATGCCTCGAGCCCAAGGCTAACAGTAAAGTCGAAACATTAGAATCTGATTCTGCACCACCAACCATATCTTCAGTGACTACTCATGAGGAAGATAAAGCAGCACCTTCTGTTTTAGGTGCTAATAGTGAACCTGAGATTATTCTCAAGACCCAAGAGGAAACCGATGCCAAGCTATAGATTGAAATTGATGAAAAAGGATTTTAAAAAAAATTCAAAATGCTTCCCAAGTCCTGCTGAAAGCAATGCTCAACGAAATTGAAACTCATTCCGTGGACTCTGTTAGTGCCGTTACTGTTAGAAGTCACTTGAATAAGTCTTGTCTTTTGTTTGATTAAGTCAAGTTTAGTTTAGTTGATATTTTATCTCCTAATTAGTAGGTGCAAGTTAGTATAGATAATGTCATATTTTTATGCATTCAGTTTCGTTGTACTACTGCCTATTTAAAGGCTGTTTTTAGTGAATAAAGAGTGAAAAACTCTCTCAATCTGTGAGCTATTAGATTTTTTATCAGTGGCATCAGAGCCAGTACGGAAAAATATAGAGAGAGAATCAGCAAAAAGAAATTAGTCCTTCCCATCTCCACTTTGTTTTCCTCTGGCAGCAGCAATATTCACATAGCAGGAGACAATTTTGTTCAACCAGTCATTCCACGTTTTGATGGTCATTATGATCATTGGAGTATGCTCATGGAGAATTTCTTAAGATCCAAAGAATATTGGCATGTGGTTTGGAATGGGGTGCTAGAGCCAACAGCTGGCACAGTGATGACAGATGCCCAGAAGACAGAATTAGAAGGGCAAAGAATGAAAGATCTCAAGACAAAAAATTATCTTTTCCAGGCGAGCGATTGTTCGGTTCTAGAGACAATCCTCAACAAAAGCACTTCAAAGCAGATATGGGACTCCATGAAAAAGAAGTACCAAGGTACTACAAGAGCAAAGAGGCAGCAGCTACAAGCTCTTCGTTCGGAATCTGAAACGCTTCGAATGAAAACTGGAGAGTCCATCAGTGATTATGTCTCACGGACAATGGCAATTGTCAACAAGATGCGGATTCATGGTGACAAGACTGAGGATGTCACAATTGTCGAAAGGATTCTTCGGTCGTTAACACCAAAGTATAACTTCGTTGTGTGTTCTATCGAAGAATCTCATGATATCGATGAGCTTTCGATTGATGAATTGCAAAGTTCCTTGTTAATTCACGACCACAGATTTGATCAGCAAGAAAATGAGAAAAATGAGAAAGAAGAACAAGTTCTAAAAGTCTCAATGGAGAATAATGGAAACAGATCAGCAGATCGCGGTAGAGGTAGAGGAAGAAGAGCTCAAAGTAACAGAGATGGAGGTGGAGGACGAGGAGTAGGGAGCAGACAATTTTAGAAATTTAATTCAGACAGCAACCTATCATTTTCTCAAGGCCGAGGGAGAGGACGTTATCATGACAAGTCGAATGTAGAGTGCCATCGATGTCATAAATACGACCATTATCGATTTGAATGTTATACGAAACTACCTCAAGATAAAGGAAAGGAGAAATTGAATTATGCTGAGAAGAATGAAGACGAAACTTTAATGATGACGGTCCATGACGGCAAGAACAAGCATGAAGCTAACATATGGTACCTTGATACAGGCTGCAGTAACCATATGTGTGGAAGTAAGTCATTTTTATCTCACTTAAATGAGGATTACCGCACGACTGTGAGTTTTGGTGATAATTCCAAAATAGATGTTATGGGAAAAGGAGATGTTCACATCAGGACCAACAATGGCAATGTTGATATAATGTCAAATGTGTTCTATGTCCCTGGCTTAAAAGGCAACCTGCTGAGCCTTGGGCAACTGCAAGAAAAGGGATACACGATGACAATTAAGAATGGTGCGTGTGAAATCTATGATTCCAGAAGAGGCCTTATCGCTCAAGCCGAAATGACATCGAACAAGTTGTTTCCGCCTATGTTACCCGGACTCTTCTATTTAGGAAGAATACCCGTGTCATGTTGTGTCGACACTGGTGTGGGTATGAGTGTCGGGTGTGGCATTTTAGCCTAAAATGTTCAAGATTTCTAAACTATTGACGAGTCCGATGCTCATATCTCCACACCCGATACGCACCCATATCCGAGTCCAGGTCGCATAGGTTTCCACTGCAAATTAGGACTATTCAGTGTTATTCAGCAACCAATGATGATCCAATGTGGCTTTGGCATTTTCGTTACGACCATTTAAATTTTAATGGCCTGAAGACACTTCATCAGAAAAATATGGTAATCGGTCTTCCTCAAATTACTCCTCCCAGAAAGGTGTGTGAAGAATGCATCATTGGCAAGCATCATAGGGAGAAATTTCCTCAAGGAAAATCTTGGAGGGCAAAAAAAATCCTTGAATTGGTGCATTCGGATATTTGCGGGCCAATAAACCCATGCTCTAATGGAGGTAAAAAATACTTTCTTACCTTCACTGATGATTATAGTCCAAAAACTTGGGTTTATTTTCTTCAAGAGAAGTCAGAAGCTTTCAGCATGTTTAAACTATTTAAGGCACATTTCGAGAAAGAAACTAATGAAGCCATTAAAATTCTTCGAACTGATCGTGGTGGCGAGTATTGCTCGAAAGAATTTTCTCATTTTTGTGATGAACAAGGCATTCGGAAGGAGCTTACTGCTACTTATACACCACAACAAAATGGTGTATCAGAAAGGAAAAATCGTACCATTCTTAATATGGTAAGAAGTTTAATGGCAAGAGGAAAAGTCCCAAAGTCCTTTTGGCCAGAGGCAATAAATTGGAGTATTCATGTGCTGAATAGAAGTCCCACATTTTCTGTTCGAAACATGACACCGGAGGAGGCATGGAGTGGGCGTAAACTAGTTGTTGATCATTTTAGAATATTTGGGTGCAGAGCATATGCACATGTCCCAGACCATAAAAGGAAGAAACTCGATGACAAAAGTGAAAAGTATGTTTTTCTTGGTATAGCTGAAGCGTCCAAGGCGTATAAGCTATATAATCCAGTCCCGAAGAAAATTGTGACTAGTCGAGATGTTGTTTTTGATGAAGAAAGCACCTGGAATTGGAAGGACGAACAACCAGAACAAACCATTCTTGATGAAGAAATTGATGAACATTACCAATCTGAACATCAACCGACTTCCAGTCATGAAATTTCGCCAAATGAACCTGTAGTAAGTTGTGAAAGTGTACCAGTAGCTACTGAATCTCGCACTCGTCGTGTTCGAACGAGGCCAGCGTGGATGCAAGATTATGAGGTTAGTGGTATTCATTCAGATATTGCTCACTATGCTTTCTTATCGGATTGCGATCCTATTACATTTCAAGAGGTTGTAAATTCTTCGGAATGGCAAATAGCAATGAATGAAGAAATTGAGTCCATCGAGAAAAACCATAGCTGGGAGCTTGTCGAACTTCCAAAGGGGCAGAAATCTATTGGTGTTAAATGGGTTTATAAAACGAAATTAAACAAAGATGGCGGAGTTGAACGGTATAAAGCTCGACTCATAGCCAAAGGATATGAGCAGAAGCCTGGCGTGGATTTTAAAGAAGTGTTTGCCCCGGTACAAAGTTGGATACTGTCCGTTTGATGTTATCTATGGCTGCCCAACATTCTTGGTTAGTCCATCAGTTCGATGTGAAGTCTGCATTTCTACACGGAGAGTTGAAAGAGGAAGTGTACATTGACCGACCTCCTGGTTATGTGAAGAAAGGGTGTGAAAATCAGGTCTACAAGTTAAAAAAGGCACTATACGGGCTAAAACAAGCGCCGAGAGCATGGTATAGTCGTATAAATGCTTACTTTACCAAAGAAGGCTTCGTCAAATGTCCATACGAGCACACTCTTTACACAAAACACGAAGATGATAATAAGGTATTGATTGTGTGCTTATATGTGGATGATCTTATTTATACCAGTAGTGACCATGTTATGCTGGTGAGTTTTAAGAAATCTATGATGGAAGAATTTGATATGACGAATTTGGGTTTAATGCATTATTTCCTTGGTATTGAGGTGCTGCAAATGTCTGATTGTGTTTTTATTTCTCAAAGGAAATATATATCAGAAATCTTGGACAGGTTCATGATGAGGGATTGTAATCCAGTCACTACCCCCAGTGAAGTTGGTCTAAAACTCTCGAAAAATGATACTGGAAAAAGGGTGGATTCAACTATGTACAAGCAAGTAGTAGGGAGCCTTTGGTATTTGACATCTACAAGACCTGACATAATGCATGCAGTCAATCTTATCAGTAGATATATGGAGAATCCAACTGAAATTCATCTTTCGGCT